TAAAGGCTGGTAGAAGAAGAATTTCTTCACAATCATGTGAGTCGAGTTGACGCTTGCATTCAATTTCACATAGCCTTGCTTTCCCAAAAGTTGTTCCCATCCAGCGTGGACTGTTGCGGTTCGACTCCCGCTGATGGTGTTGATAAAACCGATGCGAGGTCGAAACTTCAGTCCAATGTTGCCTGGATAAGAACAACTTTTGGGAAAGCGGGGGTATGTAAAATGGAATGAAAACGTCAGCTTAACTCATATCATTGTGGGAAAATTCTTCTTCTACCAGTCCTTCATCACCTTAAACGAATTTGGGTGAATACATCTCATATAGGTTTAAATAGATTGTATACATAAAATGCATTCACCCTATTTCTTGTAGGTTTATAAAGGGAGTGTTGGTTGAATTTTTATTACGTTGGCATTGATGCTCACATGACCCTGCTTCCAAAAAGGCATTCTCATTCAGACTGGACTTAAATTTTGACCTCTTAGCGGGACTCGAACCAGAGTTGTTTTAGTGAAGCACAAAACCACCACGTCAGACTGCCACAAGTGGCCTTGGATGGGTGACAGGGAAGATGTGTTTAAGGTTATTTCATTTTATATGAAAGTGTATGAAGAAAAGGTTCAAAGGTTAATCTCACCAGAAGAGGACGGCTGAATCGCGTTGTACTGCAGCAGTTTGATTTTAATACGACCTTCCGGTTGACGCAGTCCACGTGACCTCCTCCCTCGTTTTGGTGAAAAATGGTTTTGCTTTCGTCCATCATCAGAGCTGGAACTTATTATTTCAAAAGTCTCACGTCAGCACTTTCATATGAAATCAAAGTCTCCTCGACAATGTTTATATGAGGAGATTAATCGAAACCAAGTTACTTTTTCTATCTACAGAAACGGTTTTTTCGCCTCAGAAATCCGCTAGTCCCGGCACCGAAAACCGTCGGAGCCGGGACTCAAACTAGTCACCTCGTCTTTCCCGGAGTATGTTTGCTTACATTCCGTCCTCTTCATTCATACACGCCTGCTTTTCCACCCACTGGCAGACAATCGCCGCCATGCAGGCGGCCTGGCCGAGCAACGAGGCGCTGAGAGACGCACTCCACTCGGCCGGCCTGGACAGTGACGTCGACGTCGACGTCAACGCTGACGGCGACGCCTGTCTCGTTCTCGACCTTTGGGCGAGAGTGCTGTCGACGGGACTGGTGCTGGGGCCGGAGCAGGCAGAGACGCTGCTCGTCGCCACACGCCGCCTCCTCGGCTCGTCCGCGGGAGCCTGTCTTGACGGCGACGGCGACGGCGATGGCGATGGTGATGGCGATTGCGACAGCCACGTCGACGTCGACGTCGACGTCTGTCGCCTCTCGGCTGCTGTTCGGCTGGCTCGACTGGGTCTGCTGCGAGCCGCCGCTTGTCTGTTGGTGGCGCAGGCCGACGGACGCCAGGTCGCTTCGACTCCGGTCCGGAGACACGAGACCGCTTCCAAAGCGACCGCCAGCAGCCTCGGCACTGCCGAGCTCGGACGTCCACGTCTCTTCCTCACCTGCCAGGCGGCTCTAACTGCCGCTGCCGAGTAAGTTGCCTCGAGACGTGTTCAACCTATTTGGTGTGCGGTGATCAGAGGAATAGGAGTTGAATTTTTTCTCACAATCATATGAAAATAACT